TCTCTCTCTCTCTCTCTCTCTCTCTCTCTCTCTCTCTCTCTCTCTCTGGGAAGCAAGGAATGAATAGCGAATAATAATAAAACAAAAATGCCAGGAAAACATAAAATTTCTTGACTTTGAGGTGATTGGCTCGGTGACTGGAGAGAAGGTTTATGGCAGGGAGCTTTAGCGAGGCCAAAAGGAGACAAAGGAAGCTAATCTCACTTAGAACGGTACAATCTTCTATATAGCTAATGAAGTGTTATGCTGTGGTCAATGAGGTAGAGGCACTGCAGAGAGCCTACAGTGTGTGTGTGTGTGTGTTTGTATATATGTGTGTGTTTGTACAGTACGTGTGTGCGTTGTCGTGCTTTGTTGTATGAGTGGGGGTTTGCTTTTATCTGGGGGCTGCGGTGATAATGCTGCCATCAAGAAGTGAAGCCTTTCAAGGGAGAATGAGCATGTACACGAAGAGAAGGAGAGAGAGGTTGAAGAGGAAGGACATAGTGAAGGGACAAGAAGACCGTAATAAAAATAACGAAAGGGTAGTGAGAAAAAGCAATACAGTATATTATGAAAATAATTTCTATACGATCATATCAGGGTTTTTGCTCATTTCAGTAATTTCTGTAATAACAAAAGTTATTACAGGGGGAGATGAATGTCTAAACCAAATGTCATGTAATAATAGTTGAGGGATATTTCAGTCTGGATCAAAGGGACAGACAGACGGGGAGCGGACTGTTGAGACAAAATGCATCAGTTTCTTTTTTTATGGGTTCCTGTTTTTTTTTTTGCACAGGAATGCAGTTTAAGTACTAATTGTTTTGAAAAGTCTGCACCGTGACCCTGTCTGTCTCCCCATCCCTCCTCTGCAGCCACATACTGTATCTAACTCCCCACGCCCTGTTGTTGCCGTTTTACATCCATCCACCTGGTGCCTTCAGACCTTCCCTCCTGTCTACATCACCTGACTGCCCCGCCCATCTACACACCTGTACCCACTTCCCTCATCAGCCGCGCAGTTACCTAACCTTTTCCCCGCCCACCTGCTCACCTGCATCTCATTCCTTCATCGGCCTCTCGGTACATATACCGGCCATGTTCCGTTCAGTCCCTGCCAGACTTCCCCTAGTCCCTATGCCTCTTTCTTGCCATGTGTCATTAACATTCTGTTACTTTGCCCATTTACCTGGACCTGTGCTTCTACCTGAACCTGCCAGTAAAACCATATCACTGAACTGAATATAGCGTAGCATTAAGCAACATTTAGAATAATTTGCTGAATAGTTGGTGGAGATTAAAACAAAGTTAAAAGTGCAAATTGGACTTCATCAGGTGGACAGAAACATGACTCCAATGAAAGCTAATGTTGCTCCATAACATCTCAGAGTTGTGTTCACAGCTTGTTTTTGTGCTCCCAAGAGGCCAAAAAAATCAGTTATTGCACGTTCATTCTTTTAAGAGACAAAGCAACCTATTTATCAGACTCACAGCTTCAATTTCGATCAACAGTAGTTAAAATTTTCAGCACTGATTGGTCATGTGAAATGTGTTAGCTGTATTACAGTAAATACAAGACTAACTCACATCCAACAGAGACTGAGGTTGACATGCACAAAAGGAGTCTGCAGTAGAAATGTCCCTACAGGTAATACTGTTACAGTATATTTGACCTATATCAAGCCATCATTCTTGTGAGGGAATTGGACGTTTATTTAGTTCTGCAAAACGCTGTCAATGTGATGTTCGGACACAAGTCAAGGTTGAGGTGCTCTGGAGGAGTCAAGGGCATGCTGTTTGAAAGATGACAACTGTGCTTTCCTCAGCGGAAGAGCAAATGTCATCAGTCCTAAAAAATATGGCTGAGCAGCAGTGTTGAGGTCAAAGGTCACGAGAGATGGTGTTCTCACACACACAGCTTTTTTTTTTTTTTTCTCCAGAAACCTAATGATGGTCATCAGGAGGTCAACGGGGGTAATAATGGAGATAAAAACGACATGGACCCGTTCAAGAGCTCACTCTGTATAGTACAAATCCTACCATTCAAATGGAACAAACTAATACGTTTTATTTTCAAAATGTTGTTTTTTTAATTTTTTATTTAATTGATATTGCTGCCTGCATAGGCACACATACAGCTGTTGATGACCTGGGACCCCAGGGTGACCTGAGGATACTCTATAACAATAGCGGAAGACTCAAGAAAATGATGGAAACCATTCCTCAAGTTCTTTTGCTTGTGTCTCTACCGCTCTCCATTTGTCAAGTCCTCAAATCATTTGACGCCTGACTCTTATTCCCTAAAACCTCATGTACAGACAGTATGGCAGCCCTAGGGATATGTCAACATGCAAACGCATTAAATTCTCAGACCTTGTTTATTATGAACTGTGTAGCATACACGATTGGCTGCAACCTCTTAATATTCATGCAGCATGACTGTTCCCAACTGATGCTCACGGGACCAAGTGGGCTCAAATTAATGCAGTCACATACACATGCAGAACAAGACAACAAGGACACATTTTTGATGTGTAGCTTTTTAGCAATTAGTGCTATCATGGGTCGGGATGTAGATGCACACAATACACAACACGAGGGACCTTTGGAATGGTCAAAAGATAAAGTGAGGTTCTGTGCTGCAGCCTGGTCACATTGACGTGGCCGGTCGGATCAGCTCGGGCTATTTCTGTCTTTTTTTGGTCCGAGCTTGCTGCAGGCAGGAGAGGTTTGGAACACTGTCCGTGGTCGGGTGAGGGCGACCCATCACGCAAACAGGGAAGACTTTTCAGAGGAAACGTTTAAGGAGGCAAATGCGCTCACTGGCCTGCAGCTCCTGTGAGCTGCAGGCCGTAGTGGTCAAAGCGGCAAAAATGGAGAAAAGAAATTGCAGTTTAGTCGTGGATAACGTGCTCTGTTGCTCTCTCTCTCACTCTCTCTCTCTCTCTCTCTCTCTCTCTCTCTCGTGGGGCTGTAAATTTGTCATTAATAAACAGGCCATCCAGACATGAGTCATCTGCGGGATTGCTCTTTGTTTTTCTGCATGCCCTCTGTCCCTCTCTATTCTTATCCTGCCTAATTTCCTCTCCATCTCCCACGTTTTATTTCCCTCCAGCATGTTGACCTTGTCCCTTATTCCAGCTTGTTTGATTGCGAGACGGTACACAATGATAGGGTGTGTGTATGTGTGTGTGTGTGCATGTGTGTGTGTGTGTGTGAGGGGACAAAGAGGATCTAGAGGTGAGAGAGAGCAGTGAGGTGTCCAGCACTTAAATTGCCTGTTTATTTCCAGTCATTGCATCAATTAAACTTATACAGCTCACAAACGCAGAGTGTGTTTATGTGTGTGTGTGTGTGTGTGTATGTGTGTGTGTGTGTGTGTGTGTGTGTGTGTGTGTGTGTGTGTGTGAGATAGGGGTGGAACAAAGAAACAATTAAGAATGATAGGTATGGAAATGTTTGTGCTGTCGTATGCAGTTTCTGGCTTCATGCGAGTCACAAAAAAACCACACGGGTGCATTTTCTTTTTGTGTTACCAGGGAGAGAAGCGGAGGAAACTAGCACTGTATTTTGATTGTGATCTGTTTTACAATCAGTGTTATCCATGCATAAACAGCGCACGTCTGAGTGCGTGGAGGGGGCTGCACGGGTGTGTCCGTAAGTGTGTGTTATATGGGGTTGGCCAGTGGCAGCCCCGAGATCAGGAGCGTGATCGTCGGCTCTCCGGGGAAGAGGGGCGTGTCTGTGACAGGCTGCAGTGATTAGTGGAGCTCAGCGGGCAGAATTTATCAGACTCAGCCAAGGCCATGAACCATTTCGCTCTGCAACTCTGCAATTTGTCTCCCACTTCGCGTCATATAACAGCCTAAATGCGGCTCACTTGTGCATGTTCGCAACATGCACGATTGTTCTGCCTTGTGCATTTCTGAGTGTCCTGCTATGGAGAGGTATATTTGAATTCATGAATGGTGAGATGCAAATCCCCCGTTTGCATGACAAGGTGTTTTATAGTAGGACTGTCAATGCAGTTTGATTTATTCTGTGAATTCGCTTTAAATGCATGTTCGGGGGAAAAAGGCTTCTCAGGAGATCTGTGTCTCCAGAGAAGCCTTTATGAAGAAGTGCTGAAACAAATCGTCGATTCATTGATTAGTCTATTTGTAGGGCTGCAACTAAGGGTTGTTTATCCTAAGAAGACGGACCAGATGTGCACACATCCAGACAAAAATACTCAGGTCAACTGAAGGGCACAAAGGAGGCTGGCACACTGTTACGCTCCAAATGGTCAAATGAAATGTATTGATTAATCAATACAAATATTTTCACGGTTAATCGTTTTGTAGAAACGTCAGAAAAAATGTCTGTTACAATTTGTAACATGAGTCATCTTCCCATGTCTTGTATTGTCCAACCAATAGTCCAAAACCCAAAGATATTGAGCTTCCTGTTTGCTAAGATACGGACACATAAACATTACATAAAATTATCGAATCTTTACAGACGAGAAGCTGAAACCAGGGACTGTTTTTCATTTTTCACAAAGTAAAGAATCTTAAAATGATTCTTCTATTATGAAAATAGTTGCTCTGTCGTTTTTTTTATGGATTTATTGATCAATTTGTCAATTGTTGCAGATGAGTCAGTTGACAGAAGATTCATCTGAAACAATTAAGATAGCCAA